GAAAATCTTTGTGAGGTTATTATCTCTAATTAACCAGAAAAATCCTGGAAGTGGTACTGTGGCTCAAAGTGATACAGTGCTACATAGGCTTGAACAAGAGTATAGGGAGAGTGCACAGGCCCTGAGCTCAAACCCTACAACTGCCAAAAGAGATGCCAACCAGGACAAGCCATTATGGCAATGAGCACCTAGCCCCCACCACCAGCCCCTACCCCCAGACAAAGCTAGACCTGTAGTAAGAGGGGATAATGTCACATCCTAAATGGAGTCAGTTTGCGCTTGCCCTTTCCAAACTAACCAGAGCCAGGAAATCAAAAGAAAATAGTTAATAAGCATGCCTATCTAATGTCTATACTTGTCTACCTTCTAACTGAACAGGAACTTACATTCTTGCTATTGTTACTATTTACAGGAAATGATCAAGTCCTCTTACTGGGCCCTTAGCCACTCCAATTCAGCCCTAGATTTTGACTCATTATTCTTAACCAGTCCACCATGCTCTCCCCTATCCAGGCACCAGAAACCCTGGGCATTCCCTTCCTGCCCCTAGTCTAACATGGAAATTCCTCCTTCCGTGTAATGGGCTACAACCTGACTTATCCTTCAAATGGAACTTTCTGGCTTGTGCCCAGGGTGTATTCTCTTATGGTATTCATGCCAGCCTGCCTGCAACCTTGTCAGCCTTTTGCCTGATCTCAACCAAACGCATGAACATTTTGGTGGATGATGGGAATCACTCCAATGGATATCCTAGTGCCATTCCCCTCATTGTGATCCCCCTGGCTGGCCCTTCACCTGGGACCTTTAACAGTTATCCTCTTACTCTTCCTTCTTGGATTCTGGTTTCTTAACCTTGTTTCAAAAGTTTCTCTTTAACAGGATAACAGCACTCACTCAGGACACTATCTGGGAGCAAGTCAAAATCATCCTATTACTGCAGGTGACTAGAGGCTTCACTTACACTGCTCTGCCCAGAGCAAACCTAGACCATGAAGACCGCAGCCTCAGTGACTGCTCAATACCCACATATCAGCAGGAAGTTGCCAGAAAAGCTCACCATGTCCCTCAACTTTTTATATCCCTTCAGGGTGTCAAATGATTGGAATATACTTTGTTTTCATGACTCCATGTTGCTCCCATGGCCCACTGATCACCCACCCTTGGGAACTCCTCCTTGATCCTATCTGAGAGTGAAGGATGGTCTTTATCTGAAAGTGCAGGACAGCCAGCAACAAAATAATATTCCTACCACAAAAGACAAAGTAGGATGTTTACACCATAAAATTCCAAATCCCATGTATGCATGGATATGCCTAGCATAGGCAGGACAATCTGATTTAACCTGGCTTTAAACATTCCATTATGGACCAATTCTGTAGGGAATTCTGAGTCCAAGCTGTGAGATCAGGAAAAGGTTAAGAGACTGAACAGAATTGACCCTGAGAAGGTCAAACCTTCAAGGCAAATGGATGTAGATTTATTTGAACATTAAACAGCTTGAGACCTTGGATATGGGAGTCAGTTATCACTATACTCTGCCTCCACCTACAGTCACCTCCCCTATACTGAACTCAAATAACCTCTGTCTCCTTTCCCAGATCCCAAAAAAGCTTTAACTCCAACCCCACCCCTGGCACATCCTCTGATCCCATGGGAAGATTGCTTCACCTCACTGTTATGCAAGGAACAGTCCTTGCCTGTGGAAGATTGATTAGGGCCTGTTTCCTTCCTTTCTTCTCCATTTTCCTAACACTTGCAATAGGTTCAAAAAGTAAAGTACCTAGTTGGGCACTGGTGGCTCATGTCTGCAATCCTAGTGACACAGGAGGCTGAGATCTGAAGATCAGAGTTTGAAGTCAGCCTGAGCAAGAAAATACATGTGACTCTTAGCAATACTCTAATAATGGCTACATGACCAAAATTAACCTATGTGCTCAGTGCACATTAAAAAATTGTCATGGTTTTCATCACAGAGATAGAAAAGCCAACCCTAAAGTCCACATGGAAGCACAATAGACCTCAAATATTTAAAGCAATACCAAGCAAAAAAGACAACACCAGAAATATCACAATATTATACATCAAATGACACTAAAGAGCCGTAGTACCAAAAACAGCATGGTACTGGCATAAGAGCAGATATCTAGACCAATGGAATAGAAATCCAGAAATACCACACAGCCACAACAAATTATAACCATGAGTAATAGGCTATTTTTTCTCCAACATATGTTTTTGGAAAGTTTGCCAAATTTTGCCTTGTAAGGCTAAAAGGTGCAGTTGCATTTTGTTTCATCTACATCCTTGCCAGTATTGGTGTTTCAATTGGGTGATGGTGGTGGTGGTGGTGGTGGTGCAAATCCTGGTGCTTGTATTCAGGGCCTAAGTACTGTCCCTGAGGTTTTTTGCTCAAGGTGATAATCTACCAATTGAGCCACAGCTTCACTTCCAGTGTTTTTAGTTTTTGTTTTTGCGGGGGGGGGGGGGGGGGTTACTTGGAGATCAGGGTCTTGTGGACTTTCCTGCTTATGCTAACTTTGAATTGTGAACCTCAAATCTCAGCCTCCTGAGTAACTAGGATTATAAGTGTGAGCCACAGGATCCTGGCTCTTTTCTGTATAACTTTACACATTTTGCACTGATCATGGAGGAAATAGGTCTGTGATCTTTCATTGCTGTCCTGTTCAGTGGTTTGTTATGGTTTTTTGCTTATATGGACCCCATTATGCAGTGAGTTGGACATGACACCATTGTTGTGAAGTTGTTGTGGTGGATGTGACACTTTGCAGTCTCCTGGCTTTGCCACTGAAGTGACACTCTCTAGATGGCTGTCCTGTCTCTTGCACAATCCCACATCCTTTGCTATGTTCTAATGAGCCCTGTGCACCTGTAATTGTTAAAAAGCTTTCTGTATGTATAGATTAGAATGTGCATGAATGGTGAGCATTCAGAATGGATCTCTTTCCACTAACTGTTGATGCAGGGGCATAGGATCACTGTGTGTGTGTGGAGGGGGGTAAAGTTGGGGAATGATACACTGGATGACCCCTGAAGGATAGTTTAAAAGTCCTCAGATGGAAAATGAATTTGGTCTACTCCTGCTTGAAGACCAGACTGTGTAGTTACATGATCTTGAGCAGGACCACTGTCATGTTTCAGAATAATGAGAAGAGGCCAAAATTGTACCAGCGACTGAAAATCCCATGGGTCTACAGGGCAAATGGACTGAAGTGAGACAGAAGCCAGTGGTAGCTATGGGAAGAAGGGTGTTGTGTTAACAATGTGGAAGCAATTAGATTTTCTCCTATGGATTGTGGGAACCATTTGAGCAATATTTTAAACAAAAGAACAGGGTGGTGTGTCCAAAACACTTGTGTGCTATTTTGCAACTACAATGGGTGTATTCTAGAAGTTTCATGAAGAAATATGAATAATATAAGGTTAAGCAACCTGAGAAGTTATGCAAGAAGTTCTTCCTGATCAGAGCAAGCATGCCTGCGTACTCCTTACAACCACAAGATCTGACTCCACCAAGTCTCTCTCCATCCTCTGTTCCTAATCTCTACAGCAAGAATTACGATCACAGAATTACTTGTCTCATGGAGTTGTGGTAAGGATCCATTAAGAAAGATCTGAGAGCCGGGTGCTGGTGGCTCATGCCTGTAATCCTAGCTACTCAGGAGGCTGACATCTGAGAACTGCAATTCAAAGCCAGCCGGGGCAGGAAAGACCGTGAGACTCTTATCTCCAATAAACCACCAGAAAACCGGAAGTGGCGCTGTAGCTCAAGTGGTAGAGCGCTCGCCTCGAGCTAAAGAGCTGAGGGACAGCACCCAGGCCCAGAGTTCAAGCCTTATGACCGACAAAAAATAAAATAAAATAAAAATAAAAAATAAAAGAAAGATCTGAGAAGATGAGCACAGGTGTCTCATGCTTATAACCCTAGCTATTCAGGAAGCTGGGATCTGAGGATGAAAATTCAAAGCCAGACTAGGAAGTAAAGTCCATGAGACTCTTACCTCCAATGAACCAGCAAAAATCTAGAAGTGGAGCTGTGGCACAAGTGATAAAGTGCTAGCTTTGAAGGATAAACAGCTTAGGGACAGCATTCAGACCCTGAATTCAAGCCCAGTGTAAGCATTATGCCCAGCTTTGGTCCTCAGCTCCACCCAGATCTGAGCTTCTCCCAACCCTCGAGTTCCCACCATACAACTCCTTCTGTCTTCCCAGACTTACCTGAGTACCCACCTACCTCACTTCCTGCCCCCAGACCCTCCTGTTACCTGGATAGTGAAGGGTGCCATGTGCTCCCTCTTGGGGTAAATATGGCTCCTCTAATAAACCTTATAATAATCTTTCTCCTGTGCCTGCCTGCCTCTGCATGGACCCCCTGGGATGGATGTGAAGGATCCTTCATTGGTGGCCCCGTACAGGATAGGTTTCCTGGTGGATTTTCTCCTCCCTCCACTTCAGATGGGAGTTGGAACAGCTGCCCTGGGACCTAGCCTAAGGTCCTACTCTCCTGTCACCAGAGGACCACCAAGGTAAGTTTCTCCTGACCCAGCGCTCTACCTGCTGCCCATCCAACACTGGCTAATTAAGTCTTAACCAAATAAGTGAAGAGTCTAAGGTTTAGATTTCACTGTGCAAGCTCCATTTCTCTATTGGAGGACCTCAAGCCCCCCACCTAATAAAACTTGGCCAAGTATCTAAGCCAATGGCTTCTGTGGCAAGGGACGCCATAGCCGAGGGACACCATGGAGAAAAGTGATAGCATTTCCCACTGGCTGTTTCCCACTTTTTGAGCCAAATTGCACTGCCAAGGATGCTCCACTTAAGCTTTTGGTTCCAAATCACTTAGCATGGAAAGGACACAACTAAATTTCTTTGCATTAAGGCCTCCTGGGCCTTGGTGGGCTCCTGAGCCCCCATCAGAGTAAAATTTGGCCCCAAATTTAAGACTCCACTTCTGCAAGCACTTGGACAGGTAAATCTCTCTCTCTTTCTCCCTCTCCCTCTCCCTCTCTCCCCCCCCCCTCCCTCTTCCCCTTAAACTCTGTCACTTGTTGTTAAGGGCTAAAATTAGCTTCTGGTCCTCTCCCTTCTTCCAACTAAAGGTATTCAAAAGGTCAATTGATAATCATTTGTCTGAAATTTTAGTCATCTGTGAGAGTAAGATTGGCAAAAATATATCTCTTGCCACTAAAAATTCAATAAATGTAGGCTGGTATTCATTTTGCACACTTTAAGATCTTTGTGCACAATATGTATGTAAATTTATTGAGATAAAACTGTCATCACTATGCGGAAAAAAAAGGGATGAATTTAAGTTTAAACTCCCCCCCAAAAAGTCAACAAGTTTGGATATTTTAAGTTTAAACTCCCAAACAAGTTTGGATATTGTGAGTTTAAGTTTAAACTCCCAAACAAGTTTGGATATGATCAAAAGTGTAAGAGATTGTTGCATTGTTTTAAAGAGAAACTTTAGCTGAAAGGTTTTAGGTTCTTGTTAAGCATGGAGATTATTAAATTCTGTTAGATCTTCTCTCTAGCATTGACCATGTGGCAGAGGCATCATCTTGGCATTGTGTAGCTCAGGTGCTGTTTCACACCAACTCAACTTCATGCCGACTCAACTTGATTCTGTGACCCTCCCCCTGACCTAACCAGCCCAGGCACCATTATGCCATGCCACATGGCTGCTCATGTCTTGTCTCCTGTTTACTAAAAGGTTTCTCACTGTTGGCAAAGTTTTGTCTTCTAAACTGACCACATGGTTCCTTCATAATTAGGCAAAGTAATATTGCTAAAATTCCAAAAAACCTGAAATGGGCCAATTTTTAAAGTCTAACTACGCTCTATAAAATGTGCACAAACATGTCTGTCTGTCTATTTGTCTATATGTAAAATATGTAAACGATTATGGTTCCAAAGTTACCAAATATTCTACTTGCTAAAAATCATTGTCAGTGGAAGCTCTGATTTAATCCAAGTTGCTTTAAGAATTTTGAGACCTGACTACAAGCCAAAGGAAAAAGATAGTTTAAAACTTTTAAAAAGGCCTTGGGGAAGGAGTTAGAAAAGATGGTTTCCTTTGCAAAGTAAATGAAATTGTCAGTTAAGTTGACTGTGATTTATGTCATTCCTTATGTCCATCTACGCAAAGAGTTAAATATTGTACCTCTGACCATGGCTGGTAAACCAAGGCTAAGGTTTTAATTCTCTGTTTTCTTCCCTTCACTCCCATCAATCCCCTTGATCAAGAGACCACAGTGACTCCAGATGCAGTGTGCTCCTGTGAATGGGAAATGACCAGGGAACAAAACAAAGTTGTCACAGCTGCCTAAAACAGTGGCACCAGCCTATGAAAGCCAGTGTGAACCAGGTCTTTAACCAGTATATGTAGAACTTTTGCAGGTAACCAGTGGGAGGTACAATAGTCCATACACCCAGTGAGATGCCACAGCCTTGCCCAGACTCCAGCCTTGCTCCATCACACATGACCAAAAGCCTGCTGATTTGGGGTAAAAGGAGAAAAGACATAAACCACTTCAGATATTTGTTTCTGTAATGTTAATCTTCACAAGTTAGACTGTGAGGGGTATATGAGCAAAGGCTATAAGTTGACTTCTGTACTATTTTGCAATTGGATGTTATTTCTAAAGCAAAAAGATGCACATTAAGAAAAACTGCTAATTTCCTAAAGGTAACTCAGACTGCAGAAAAAAGTGGCCAGTTTAAGCCTTCAGCCAAGAGGTAATGAATGTTGCCCAGTTTCAATGGAGCATATAATGCAAATTAAAGTAACTAAAAAGGGGATTAGGGACTGGGAAGGTGGCTCAGTAGTAGAGCGCTTGCCTTGCATGCTTGAGGCCCTGGGTTCAATTCCTCAGTACCACATAAGCAAAAAGGAAAAAGCCAGAAGTGGCACTGTGGCTCACGTGGTAGAATGCTAGCCTTGAGCTGAAGAGCTGAGGGACAGTGCCCAGGCCCCACGACCAGACCCCCCCCCCAAAAAAAATAAAATAAAATAAAAAGGGGATTAAAAATGGCATCCTCTTTGTAAAAATTTGGAAAGTTGTGGGGAGTGGCTGGCTTCCTAGACAAAGTTAACATTAAAATTGTCCTAAAAGTTTCATTAAAAGTTAGAAAAGATAAATTAGGATTACCAGAATGATTGTTCAGTTGCTATTCCAGTTTGCCCTTATAGGTTTTTTTGTAACAGTTTCCAGCAGGCCCACAGTAAAAGACAGGACAAGTTTGTCTGATATAATGTTGGCCCTCAATAAGTTCCAGGTAAGACTATGCTGATAAAACTACTTCCAATGACCTTCATTGTTACTTTTGATTGGAGTAAAGTGGCCATTCATAAAGACTTGTTGATCTGAGAACTGCAGTTTGAAGCCAGCCTGGGTAGAGAAAGGCCCCTGTGAAATTGTCATCTCTAATCTGCCACCAGAGTACTCAAAAGCAGAGTTGCTTTGGAGCTCAAAGTGGCAGAGTGCAATCCTTGAGCTGGAGAGCTGAGGGACAGTGCTCAGACCCTGAGTTCAAATCCAGGGACCAACCAAGGAGAATGACAAAAATACACTTATCCCAGCATGGAGAAAGGCACTCCAGGGACCCCGGCAATGTTGGAACAGCCAAGGTAAGTACAAGCCACTGCTTGGATGGCAAAAATGGTGCCAGACCCTGGAGTTACTTGAGTGTGGCCCTTCAAAAATTGATCAGAAATTGATCAAAAATTGATCATGGGAAGATAGTTTGTAAGCATGCCTAATGCCCATGTCTGTCCAACTGGGCAGGAATTTGTCAGTCATCTGTGGTAGTGGGTACTAAAAGCTAAGGTTGTAAAATGTGAGGGTTAATTTAAATCCCAACCCCCGTATCTGCTCAAAGTCCTAGTTGGCAGTGACTTTTGAGTTGGCCCAGCCACATTAATTTATCTTTTAAGGAAAGAAAGGTTATGGACCTGAGATTAGGTCCCTATTGAGATCTGTCTAAAGGCCTACACAGGTAGGCATTGTTGGAGCCACTAGAGATCAGGTTCCTCAGCCAGCCAGAAAAAATGCTTTTACAAACCAGAGTGTTAAATAGTCTATGCTGCTGTAGCCCAAAAAAAAGTCTGTACATTTGTTAAAAGTTAAATGTTGTGTATAAGCCACCTTAAACAGGTTGCCCAGAGGCAATGGGCAGTACTTAGAGTTCCAATCAGTTGCAATTTAAAAGCATCTACTGGGTTTTGTTATTACAAAACTGTGGCAAGTAATTGTTAGTCAATTGTTAACAAGTTATAGGTAACCTCTATCTCCATTGATCTCCTTGTTGCTTTAATTGGAAATAAAAAGGGCTTTTATGACAAAGACTCCTTTTGCCACAGTTCAAAACCATCCTGAGCACAAAAAATCCCTATAAAACTCCATCTCCCAGCTAATCAACACAGAACCAGCTGGAGGCATGGCTCTGGACTCTCGCCTCTAAGTATCCAGCTGAAGGCTGAACGGACATTGTGACTCTAAGTGGTAGAGCACTAGCCTTGAACAGAAGTGCTCAGGGATAGTGCCCAGGCCTTGAGTACAAACCCAGTAAATGACAACTGGGATAAACTATCCCAGAAATGGATGCTGAGACCACTTCCCAGGACAAAGTCAGTCCTGACAAGGAAAAACCATGGAGAGGAGTAAGAGAATATGACAGCATAAATTGAGTCACCCTTGCCCTCTGTGTGGTCCCCTGGGATGAATGTGAAGGATTACAACTACAACAGAATTTCATTTTTATGCCTGGGACAATATATTAGGGCAACAAATCTTGGTAACTAGAGTGCCTCCAATAAGGCTTGGATTTCCTGGGCACACATGGAAGGCTTAAGCGTATAGCTGTCTCTCTGTATTGCAGCCTCCACACTAAAGGTAGTGTGTACGTATTACCACTGTTCTACCATGCATATGTTTACCTATGTCGCCTCATTTTTTCCAAGATGACTTCATTCCCTTGATCTTAAGAGGAGTTGATGGGTGAATATCCATCTTCTGGAACTGTTTCAAGTTGGGTAGGGGCTCTGGCCCTGCCTAACAAGAGACCTGAACTCTTGTCCTATCTTACCAAAGGGTAACATGGGAAATTTAGCTGTCAGAAACACCAGATGTTATTAGGAGCATTTTTCCCCCTCCAAACTAGAGAGGAATCCATGTGAGAACTTAGGGGAGACAATAGCCACAGGAACAATATAAGGAACAATAAATCAATATCCCTGGAATATTAGTATCAGGAGAAAAACCATTGGGTAAAGAGCTCATTACAGCTAGAATCAGAGTTATATGCAACATTTAACATTTACTACTGTGCAGATTTTTTCTTGGGCTACATTAGTGCAGCCTGTTTAGCACTCCAGTTCACAAAAGCATTTTCCTGCCTGCCTGAGTAACCTGATCTTTAGTGATCCTCACAATACCTAACAGTTTCCTGTGAAGGCTTCTAGAGAGCTGTCAAAAGGAACATGATTGATCTCAGGTCCATGCTCTATTGGGTACAAACCTCCTTTTTGATTATATGAATTCATGTGACTTGTGTCAGGTCAAAATATATTGCCAATTAGGGCTTTGAGAAAATACTGAGGACTGGAGCTTTTGTTAATTTTGAACTATCCCCCATTTGACAACTCTAGCAATTTCTACCCACTATAATAAATGAAAGGGTGTAAGTCCCTGTCCAGTTGCAAAGTAGAGAAGTATGGGCATTAGATGGGTATGGTTATGAACTATTTTCAGATGACCTTCCAGCTCTGCTTGCTTTTGAAAGGACAAGCACAGTGACTCCGCTCAGGATCTGACACCATTCCCTTTTATCTGGGCAGTTTCTTTCAACTGCTCTGGATGTTCCCTGCTAAAAAGACAGCATTGTCTTAGGTGTGTTTACTCCTTGCGGGGATAATGTCTCAGTTGGTGTTTCATTTTGTCATATCATGGGGTTTGAACTCAGGGCCTGGGCGCTGTCCCTCACCTCTTTTGCTCAAGGCTAGCACTCTACCACTTTGAACTATAGCACCACTTCTAATTTTTAAGTGGTTAATTGGAGATAAGAGTCTCACAAGGACTTTCCTCCCCAAGCTGGTTTCAAACAACAATCCTCAGGTCTCAGCCTCCTGAGTAGCTTGGATTACAGGTGTGAGGCACCAGCATCTGGCCACTTGGTGCTTTTTTTATTTACTGAATATGAGCTGTCCCAGTGGTCCAGATTCCACCATTGCATAGGTGGTGGTGGTGGTGAACTAACAATATGAATAGTTTTTATGCAGAGCTTATCTGGAATTTATTGATAGTCAAAGTTAAATCTAACTAACTTGTAATCTGTCACTCTGTGGGCCTGCATGTAATTGCCACAGAAGATCAAATCTGTAAAAGCAAAATTGTCTACCACTCAGTTTGAAACAGGAACTGATTAAACAATCCTATTTTCTTAATTTTTAACTATAGTGAAGCAAGGAGATTGGGTCCATGTTTCCCCTAGATAATTGGCCCTGATTTCCCCTGATTCCTTCCTTAGATGGTTTGTTTTTCTGTAAGGTTTAAGTGTCCTCATCTGGTTTGTTTTATTCATGTATAACACTTTTATTGTGTTTGCTTTTAGTTTGCCTTTAAAATAACTCTTAGAAAACCTGTTCACTAAAGTTCCTCTTTAACACAATGTAATTATCCTTTGAAACATTTAGTAATGCCCAAATGTGATGACCTTCTTGAAGTCTGAGTTTAAATCTACCCATTTTTTTCACACCACGTTGACAATTTTAGATATCAAAATACCAGATTATTATGAACACTTTTATATGTATATACACACACACACACACATACTTGTGCACAATGATCTGAAAGCACACAAAAATGAAAATCAACTGTAAGCTTTCTGGAATTCCTGTGGCAAGAGATACTTTTGCCCATAGGTCTATAGAACCACATGGACAGTTTTTTTAAAAAAAGCTTTAAAACTTTTGCCATTAAACAAACAGAATCCTTTACTCTTGGGCTGGAAGGTGGCTCAGTGGTAGAGCGCTTGCCTTGCATGCATCAGGCCCTGGGTTCGATTCCTCAGCACCACATAAGCAAAAAGAAAAAAGCTGGAAGTGGCGCTGTGGCTCCAGTGGTAGAGCGCTAGCCTTGAGCTGAAGAGCTGAGGGACAGCACCCAGGCCCAGAGTTCAGGCCCCACAACTGGACCCAAAAGAAAAAAAAAAAAAAGAATCCTTTACTCTTACAGATACTTACCAATACTTACATAATATGCTTAGACAAATTGATAACAAGGCAGATTTGCTGGGCCTCAGTCTCCAGGGCCTGTGAAGTGAGGTAAAATTGTTCACAAGACACATTAGCATATGCATTGACCTTTGAATACTTTGTGTTTTTTATTTTTTGTTTTTATTTTATTTATTTATTTTTGTCAGTCATGGGGCCTAAACTCTGGGCCTTGACACTGCCCCTGGGCTCTTCAGCTCAAGGCTAGTGCTCTGCCACTTGAACCACAGTACCACTTCCAGCTTTTTCTGTTTATGTGTGCTGAGGAATCAAATCCAGGGCCTCATGCATGCAAGGCAAGCACTCTACCACTTGAGCCATATAATGGAACACAGGAAGGATATACACCAGTTTTGGGGTTCTCTTACCAAGAAGGCAGCCCTAATTAAAATTCAGCCCCCCCAAAACCATCATGCATATCCAAACTGAAAAACTTCCAATCCTGGCCTTCCCCTGAGTTCATAAAATTCAAAACAGTCAATGTTTAGAAAGTTGAAGACAGAATAAAGAAGTTCTCACGACCCTAAGGAACACTTGGAAAAAATAATAATCAAATTTGGGCTGTTTATTCATGCTACAAAAGAACTTACTGTAAGTTGAGCACCTGTGGCTCACACCTGTAATGCTAATTCTTCAAGAGACTGAGATCTAAGAATCACTGTTGGAAGCCAGCCCAAGAAAAAGGCAGAAGTGATGCTGTGGCTCAAGTGGTGGAGTGTCAGCTTGGAGCAAAAGAAGCTCAGGAAAAGTGTTCAGGCCCTGAATTCAAGGCCCAGGATGGCACTCATGCATGCTTGTGTGCACACACACACACACACACACCTTATATACAGAATGTCTGTAATCCTAGCTACTCAGGAGGCTGAGATCTGATGATTGCAGTTCAAAGCCAGCTTGCTCACGAAAGTCCATGAGACTCATCTCCAATAATCACCAGAAAACCGCAAGTGGTGCTGTGGCTCAAGTGGTAGAGCACTTGCTTTGAGCTGGAATGCTCAGGGATAGCACTCAAGCCCAAAGTTCAAGTCCTACAACTGGCAAAAGAGTTTAGTCTGAATTGGTTCTGGAAAACAATTCCTTGAATGAAGTTCTCTATATGTGCTTGTGTCGTGGGAAGAAAAGATACTTGCTTTAGGCAGCTCCCTTTGTCTCTCACATTGTCTTTCCTGCTCAGCTCAGTACAAGGAGTCACTGCTGAAACTGGAAATGCAGTGTTTAAATTATTTATAGCTTTTTTCTTTTGGTAGGGCTTCGCTCTGTCAAAGGCTCTTGACAACTTAACATGCCCAGACTGTGACTTCTCACGTAAGGGTTCATCTGTGGAGTATACTCATTGTAAGGTGATTATTTCTTCTCCTTGTCCTTCTTCTTTCTCTTCTACTCCTCCCTCTTTCCTTCCTCCTCCACCCTCTTCTTCCTCTTCCCCGTTTCCTCCTTTTCTTTCTCCTTCTCTTCCACCTCTTCCCCCCTTCCCCCTCCCCTCCTCCTGCTCATCATTCTCCACCTCTTCTCCCCCTCTTTTTCCTTCTCCCCCTCCTTTTCCTCCTTTTCCATCCTGCTTCTCCTTCCTCCATACTCCCTCTCCTCCTCCCTCCTCCTCCTCTTCTTCCTCCTCCTCCTCCTCCTCTTCCTCCTCCTCCTCCTCCTCCTCTTCCTCCTCTTCCTCCTCCTCCTCCTCCTCCTCCTCCTCCTCCTCCTCCTCCTCCTCCTCCTTCTTCTTCTTCTTCTTCTTCTTCACTTTCTCCTTCTTCTCCTCCTCTTTCTCCTCCTCTTCCTCCCCCTCTCCTCTTCCATCTCCTTCTCCTTCTGATTCTGATTCTGCTTTCTACTTTCTTCTTTCTTTTTTTCTTCTTCTTTCTTTTTTCTGTACCAATATTGGTGCTTCAACTTAAAGCCTGGGCACTGTCTCTCAGCTTTTGCTGCTCAAAGCTAGTCGTCTACCATTTGAGTCACACCTCCATGCTAGCTTTGTTTTTTGTTTGTTTGCTTTATTCTTTATTCTTCCTTTCCAATTTACTTCATTGTTTTAGAGATGATAGGCAGTGGAGTACCTTTACATTCAAAAACAAGAACATTGGGCTGGGAAGGTGGCTCAGTGGTAGAGCGCTTGCCTTGCATGCCTGAGGCCCTGGGTTCGATTCCTTAGCACCACATAAGAAAAAAGAAAAAAGCCAGAAGTGGTGCTGTGGCTCAAGTGGTAGAGCGCTAGCCTTGAGCTGAAGAGCTGAGGGACAGTGCCCAGGCCCAGAGTTCAGGCCACACCATCACCAAAAAAAAGAAAAGAAAAGAAAAAAGAAAGATGTGAGAAGCTGGGTATGGGGTAGTTCATGCTTATAACCTAGCTACCCAGGATGCTGATATCTGAGAATCAAAGCTCAAAGCTAGACCAGGCAGGAGAGTCCATGAGACTATTATGTCCAATGAATCATCAAAGAGGACCTATCAATTAAGTGATAAAGTGTTAACTTTCAGAAGAAGAAAAAAGTCCAGTGAGAGTACCCGGGCCCTAGTTCAAGCCCCAGCATTGGCACAGAGGAGAAAGGAAAAAGAAAGATGTGAGAGAATTTCATAAGCCCCAAATTCCTGTGGAGATACTAAAAGGGTCACTTATCAGGATGGACACTGGAGTGGAAGAAAAGATGAGGAGCCAGGAGGAAGATCTCCTCTTGGCAGAGGCTGTGTGGGGAAATCATACACCGGATGGCAGGGAAGACGCAACTCCGGTCCCTTTCGAGTCCTTGTTTCTTTTTCTGTTCTGAAAAACTCCTCCAAAGAGAGTCACCAGGAACTGGTTTTATATACATGAAATCAAATAATTGACTTTTTCAGTGAAAAGGCAGCCATGGGCCTTAGGACTATGAGCTTAATCGACTTACTTTAAACAAGTTTACAAAAGAGGCTCTCCTCGAAACAAAGGACCTCCACTCATCTGGTCAGATCATTACTAAATAACCCCATGCTGCTGACCACATATATGGTATACATGTGCACGTCAAAGGGAAACTAAGAGGAAGACACAGAAACAGAGGGAAACGAGAAAATATACAACAGCAGGACCCATCAGCTGCACTGGTCATGGATCAAAACGAACTAAGCAACTCAATGGCAGAGATGAGAGGGAGGGAATGAACAGGAAAGAGGGAACAGCTGATGCTAAGCAAAAGTAAAGAAATGGACATATCACTCAATGTAGAAGAAATAGTTGTAAGGTCAAAGTTCATAGAACTCATAAACTCTATGGACCACAATAAAGACAACTTGCCCCATGAAAGTTAGAATATGTTTGTGACTTTAACTATTACTATCCCACAATACTGTGAAATTTATGTAATCAATCACAATTTAAAAAATTGCAAAAAACAAAGAGGCTTTCCTGTTCCAGATTTGTTCTATCCGGATGAGAACAGTGTGTCCTCCCTTCCGATTTTGCCTGTGCTGATTCCAACTGCAACCTGAGGAGTCCCCAGCTCTCAAAATTGGCTCAATCTGACATTGATACCCATACAGTCAGGAGGCTTTGAAATTAAACAGAACCAGCAACCCTTTCCCAGGTCAGGCTGGGTAACGTTTACAAATCTATGGACACAGAAAGAGTGTCCCACAAAGAAGGCTCTGAGAAAGGAGCTGACAGAGAAGGTAAAGGGTCAGTGTGACGCAAGTCTTAGCTTCAGCAGATCCAAAGTGGCACGTGCCTTCCATGGAGAGGGGCAGAGATCCCCTCTATTTTCACCATGGTGGGCATGGTCAGAATGATGGAAGGGGGAATGAGGCCGGTTTTGACAAACCTTTTCACCCAGATGAAATCTGGGTTAATAGAGTCTCAAAGACTTCACTGTCTAGCTGGCTTTGAACTGTGATCCTCAGATCTCAGCTTCCTGAGTAGCTAGGATTACAGGTATGAGCCCACTAGCACCTGGCAGCCTTTACTTATTTTTTTTAAGGATACCCAGAAAGGAAGTAAGTCATTCAATAGTTCTAAGACTGTTTTTCTGATTACCTGTATGATTCATTCATTCTTCTTTGTACTCTATGTATAACCTTATTTATCTCTTAGTCTAGATCAGTATCTGAGTGTTTTTATATGTGATGACAAAGCTTTAAAGACACATGTAGCTTTTTCCAAGAATGCATGAGTAGACTGAATGCTTGGGGTCATGGGATGTTCTCCAGGTGTGTGGTCTCTTCCTGCTCAGCTGCAAAACAATTGTTGCACATGTCTCTTCCTTTCTGGAGGTGTTACCTTCTATGGAATTATGTGCATGGAAAGCCTGCTTCCTTCTATGTCCTTCTGCAGAGAAAGACCTTTGGCATCAGTCAGTGCTAACTACATTTTAATCTCAAAGAATGATTAGCCTATCCTTGCCTGTATAACACCCAAACAGTTGAATCAAAATTGGAGATAATAGGAAAAGAAGGTCATATTTGCTCAAATTATAACATTATCCTAGCCACATATACATATGGTGAAAGATGCCAGCTTATGGTTTTATAGGAATTTTATATCCAAAATGGAGTTGGGGGAACCAAAGTAACAAGACTTTGGCTACATGAACTAATTATTGAGTTATCAGCAATCTGATCATACTCAAAAGATCTCTGGAGTAAGTATCTGTTTGTTTGTGTCTGTTTTCTTTTAGCCTGTTTTTCTGGTTTCTGCAGATTGATCTATCTCAAATTGGGGACATAAGGGGAGCAGATGAACACAGACTTGCCCCCTTCCCTTTTCTGATGAAAATAGAGTGTGCTGGCTCTAGAATTGCCATGGTTGGAGGTCTGAGGATCAGGCCACTTGGTGTCTGGTATTGCTGTGACTGGAGGTCCCTCACAGGACCAGTCCTGCCCAGCATCTGTTAGTGCTCTCATTCCATACAGAGTCTTGGCTCTCAGGACAGTAGAGAGCTCTGGTTAGGGCTGAACGGGATTGGGGAGTAGGGGGGACACAGGCTATGAGTTCAAGTCCCACAACCAACCCAAAAAAAGTTATATGTAGGAAAATTTATGGGGCTGGGAATATGGTTTAGTAGTAGAGAGCTTGCCTAGTATGCAGAAGCCCTTGGTTCGATTCCTCAGTACCACATGAACAGAAAAAGCCAGAAGTGGTGCTGTGGTTCAAGTGGTAGAATGTTAACCTTGAGCAAAAGAAGCTCAGGGGCAGTGCCCAGGCCCTGAGTTCAGGCCCCAGGACTGACAAAAAAAAAAAAAGGAAAAGTTTGTGGTTTGGGTGAGTTCATTAAGCCATCAGTAGCAACCCATAATGTAGAATTTCATTGTTTGAACAACTGTTTGAACAATCAGTAATGTTAATTGTTTGAACAACTGTTTGAACAATCAGTAATGTATTTCATTGTCTCCTGCTCTAATGGAGAATGTGGAGGTGAAAGTCTTACATGCCAGGCCCTTTTCTACTCAGACAATTTAGATTCTCTATTCTTCCCACTGAGAGTAAATGTTGTCCTTCATTCTGGGATACACATTGGGGCTTCTGGAGAATCCTTCGATGGAGCAATCAGAATTTCAACTCAAAGCGTGGCTGCAGGCCTAAATCCCAGTATTTCCTCTAGTAGGGAGTAGAATCTAGCAAACAGTGGTAGACCTGACTGATTTGCAAACTCTCTTTTTTATTAACCTCACAAACAATATTTTGTCATCATCACTAGACAGCTTTCTGGAAGTCTCTTACCAACATAGTACCTCAGTTTGTACAAATGTAAGTGAGTATGCAAGCATGAGCCCTAGTTGACAGTGCCTGATAAAGCAAATGCAAGGTGGCAGGAATGTACTGGAATTACTGGGCTTTCAATGGTACTGTTCCTATGTATTACCTTGTTGATTTTCAAGCTTACTGCCATTTTTTCCTTTGATTACCACAGTATAGGACTCCACTAATCCCCCAAATTCCACAGGTGTCTCTCTCTCTCTCTCTCTCTCTCTCTCTCTCTGTCTGTCTCTCTCTCTCTCTCTCTCTCTCTCACACACACACACACACACACACACACACGTGCCTTCACCCAACACATTTGTGTATTTTTCTCACTCAGCTGCTATTGAGAAATAGGGCTGTGTGGCTCCTGATCCATCCCTGGCACTGTACCCATGACCTTCATTCATTGGGCCCTGAATTAAGAATGAATAAATGCCCTGGTGCCGGTGGCTCACATCTGTCATCCCAGCTACTCAGGAGGCTGAGATATGAGGATCACAATTCAAAGCTAGCCTAGGCAGGAAAATCCATGAGACTTTTATCTCCCATGAACCACCAAAAAGCTGGAAATGAAGCTGTGACTCAAGAGGTAGAGCGCCAGCCAATTGAGGAAGGGGAAGGAATAAACAGGTTAGATGCAAAGTCTTCACCTGTCATTTCCTAGAGATCCTTCATGCAAAGGTGGCTGCTGCCTGTCACCACTGACTTTAGGGTGTCCCACAAGCTCCCAGGGGAGGAAAGTGAACCTGAAGACCTGGTTGGGAGTCAACACATTTTACCAAGTAACTTAGTAGCTTTTCATTGCTGTGGGGAAAAAAAACAACGTGAAGGAGGAAATACTTTATTTGGAGGGAATCCAATTTCATAGCCTGAAGAAAGACTGAAACCTCTTGGCAGGGAATAGTAAGTGGAACAAAGTGCTCAATGCATAGTGGTTGAGAAGGATTGAGAGACAGACAGAGACACAGAGACAGAGACAAGAGAGATGAGAGATGGGAGAAAGAGACAGAGAGATGAAAGAGAGATGGGAAAGAGGGAGAGAGAAGGGAAAGAGATGAGAGAAGACAGGAGAGAGACAGAGACAGAGATCGAGATTTGAGAGGAGAAAGAGGTAACAACATGAGAGAGGAGAGAGATGTGAGGGAGAGTTGAGAGAGACAGGAGGGAGAGATGAGGGACTTTAGAGAAGAGAAGGAAAAAGACAGAGATGGCAAGGAGAGGTAGGAACAGAGAGGAGAGAAACAGAGAGTAGGGATGTGATATATCTTCTTGCAATGCTGCCCAGTGATCTTCTTTGCCTACCCAGGCCCCCATTCCTGGAACCCCATCCAACTGAAACCTCTCTGCTGTGTTGGAATCTTCATGATAAAGCCCCTCACCAACCAGTGACTAGAACTGAGCTTTCAATGAATCTTTTTTTTGTTTTTTTGTTGGTCCTGGGGCTTGAACTCTGAGCCTGGGCTCTGTCCCTCAGCAATTCAGCTCAAGGCGAGCGCCCTACCACTTGAGCCACAGCACCACTTCCGGTCTTATGGTGGTTTATTGGAGATAGGAGTCTCACGGTCTTTCCTGCCCAGGCTGGCTTTGAACCGCAATCCTCACATCTCAGCCTCCTGAGTAGCTAGGATTACAGGCGTGAGCCACCAGCGTCCAGCTCAATGAATCTTTGGGTAGCAAATCCACATCCAATTTATAATTGCTGGACAAACCTGGTAGATTCCAAAGGGCCAGTAACAGTTTCCACCTAATGACAGACAAGGAAGAGAAGCAAGGAACATATATATATATCCCAGATGAAAAGTAAGATTTCCATTTCTTTTTTGTTTTAGAAACTTTGAAGTCTATCTGTCACTCAGTTCTTCATTTCTCAGAATAAGAACACATAGACTATGGGTCACAATTAAGGTCATGAGCCACTATACTTCATACACTACTACTTGTGACATATCTCCTGTCAGTAAACCAGGGAGCAGGAAGGATTCACAAGTAATGATTGCTCTTTCCATCCTATTCCTTCCCCCCGACCTCCCACAACCAAGACTCTATATTAGTATTGCCGTAGGAAGACCCCTACTCAGGCAGGCAAGCCCACCTAGTCTTCCAGAGTGACAGAGCCCACCACAACAAAGTTGTTAATAAAGAAGTAACTTTATTGAGAAGGTTCCTACACTGACCGGCCAGGGCCGCAGCACAGGCTTGGGAGCTGACACTGCGACCCAGAGTGGCCCCCATTCTTTGGTTTTTAAAGGCAAAATCCATGAGGTCAAGCCTGGTCACTGGCAGGTGACCAGTGGGATCGTACCACACAAAAGGATTGTACGGTCCTACCAGACCACACACAGGTGGCCAATAGGTGGAGTTTACTGTAAGCATGTGCGAAAGGCAGGGTTTACCGTAAGCGCATGGTGTCGCCAGTTAGAGCCAAATTAAAACCTATCTGTTTTATGGGTCAGTCTTTAACTCAACAATCAAGGTGGGTTAGGTTGTTAAGGGGAGGGGGACTTAGAGACATTCTTTCCATTCCAGAAACTGGGCTGGTTGGAGCCCAGGTCTAGTTAACTTTGTTTAAAGGGTTTTTTTTTTTTCTAAAATCCCTAAAACAAAGGCAAAGCCTGGAAAGAAACTGTACCAGCTCAAGTCTCCTCTCAGGGCCTACTTCAGTATCTGACACTTTTGTTTATTGGCAGGTAGACTATCCCCTGAGCCACGCTTCTAACCCCAGCTCCTGGGGCTTGCTCTCAAGCCATGGAGAAATACCCATTCTTCAAAGAGCAAAAAGAGTGAGCAGAAGAAACTGCAACCATAAACACCTGTTTTATCTCCCGTTGGAGATAAGACCTTAGAGGAAACAATGGCTGCATTGGACTTCTGGTGAGGCAATCCATAATCTGTGGCCCTAAGGATAACAGTGCCTGCATTTATTTTCTGATACATTTATCAGATGTGAATTCAAAGTTCAAACTGTGCACATCCACAATTTCTTGTCCACTTCCAAAAGTGGGGCAGGACACCTGGCTCACACACCTGTGGGGTGGGTGGACACAGGTAAGTTTTCTACTGGCGGTGCCATCAGCCCCACCTCCTCTCCCAGCCCATAAACTGGCAGGAGCCTCAGCTCCCTCATCAGAGCTGGGCACTGAGGGGAGCTCAGCAGAGTCCGCTCTGCAGTCAGCACAACCCAGAGCTGAAAGGAAGAGTCAGAGGAGAGAATTACCAGCTGAGAGCAACCATGGACTTGATCCTCAACTTTTCCCTAGAAACCTGGATCCTCCTGGCTACCAGCCTGGTGCGTCTCTATTTGTGAGTAACTATCTAGACTCTGATGCCCTCCTCCCTGTCACCTAGGATTCAAGGTGAGGATTATTATGGTCTATAGATTGGGAAGATCTGAAAAGAAAAATGAATGAGACAATTGCTCAAAAGTCAGATTTAACCTACACCTGCAGAATTATTTACCCCATCGAGATCCAATGGGAGAGTTAATAAATATTCCTCTTTCATGGAACTCTCAATTTCTGTGTGGGGAGTGGGGCTAGTGGCATTGTTTGGAAATGATCTTTGAGCTTCTACTGGGGCCTAAATTGATGCCTCAAATTCAGCAGAAGCAGAATATGACAACAGATGACCCTTGGAGTGATCTCAGGATACTTCGGGTGAAAGGTCTTTATTATTTGTATGTTCATTTGTTTATTTTGGTCTTGTACCTGGGGCTTGAACTCAGGTCCTGGGCACTGTCCCTGAGCATTTGTCCTTAAGGCTAGCACTCTACCACCTGACTCAGAGCTCCACTTCTGGATGTTTTGGTGGTTAATTGGAGACGAGTCTCATTGTCAGGTGCTGGTGGCTCATGCTTGTAATCCAAGCTACTCAGGAGGCTGAGATTTGAGAATCATGGTTCAAAGACAGCCTGGACAGAAAAGGCCATAAGACTTATCTCCAATTTACCACCATAAAACTGGTAGAGGCATTGTGTGTGGCTCGACGTAGGAAAGCCTCAACCTTGAGCAGAAAGAGCTCACAGATATGGTCAGGCCCCAATGTCAAGCCCTACATCCTCAAAAAAAAAAAAAAAAAAATTCTTACAACCTTTCCTGCCCAGACTGGCTTCAAGCCACCATCCTCAGATCTCAGCCTCCTGAGTAGGTAGGATTACAGACAGGAGCCACCAGGTGCCAGGATATATACATATTTTTAAGCTGTTTTGCTGAGCACATTGTTTTAATTCATTGGTCATTTAAATTACTTTTACTTTTGAATGAGTACACATTAGTACTACAGGGATTTTATTATGATAATATCATACATAGGCGCAATAAACTTTGAACATATTCACTTCCTCTATCCTAGCCTCCCTCTTCTCCTCTCTCCCTCTATCTTTTCAAACAGTGTTTACTGCATTCATGTGCTATCTTTATAGTGTGTGCGTGCACACGCGCACGAGCACACACACACACACACACACACACAATCTAGCATGTGTAACACATCTTGCAAACTCTTCACTCCTCAGTAGCTTTTCCTTTCTTCCCTCCCCATTCCACAAATCCCCCCATACAACCTTCCTTTATTTTATGTGCTATAATTATCGCCATCATCCTCATTATCATCATGGTAATCACCACCACCACCACCATCATCATCACTTTCATCATCATCGTGCTCAGGATCATTCCACTGACAAGTGAATTTGCCATATCTCACTCAATAGGATGCTTTCCAGTTCGATTTTCCTACAAATGGCATGGTTTCCACTTATCACAGTTATAGTCCATAATGCTTATGCACATGATTATCTGTTCATTGGTTATTGTGCACTTGGCTGATTCTACAACATGGCCATTGTCAACAGAGCTGTAATAAGGGTGTATAAGCAAGAATCTCCCTTGCATATTGATATTCCTCTCCAGCAGGTTATCTTAGTCTTTCTGTGGAGGTGGGTAGGAAGAAGGTGAGCCAATAATGACATCAACAACACCCAAGTAGGAGTTAGGAGGATGCAATGAATATTTCTCTCCTTTAAGGTCAGAGCTCCAAGACACACTTGTGGACCCTGGCTGTCCACATAAATGACACATGGAAATGAAATGACTTGGAAATTTCTAGTTTGAAGCTCACAAGATCACTCAAAACAAGGTTGTTGACTTTACCAATTATCCACTGTAGGTTGGGGAGCCTAAAGACTCCAGCTACTTTTAGCTCATTTTTGTGACTTTTGGAGTTCTTTCAGAAGTTGTAAGAAAGGAACTGAAGAGCAAGGAAAATCATCGCCATTTGAATTTCTGGTGTTATCGTTGCCTACATGTTACCATAACAGTTTTACTGTCCTACTTCTTGAGTTAGTAACTGGCAAGCCTCCATATGAATACAGGATGTAAGTGCATGTATGTGTGTATGTATCTCTATTATCTAATTTTTAAAAAATATTTATACAGGGGCTGGGAAGGTGGCTCAGTGGTAGAGCGCTTGCCTTGCAGGCCTGAGGCCCTGGGTTCGATTCCTGAGCCCCACATAAGCAAAAAGAAAAAAGCCGGAAGTGGCGCTGTGGCTCAAGTGGTAGAGCACTAGCCTTGAGCTGAAGAGCTGAGGGACAGCGCCCAGGCCCAGAGTTCAGGCCCCATGACCGGACCCCCCAAAAAAATTATATATACATATATATTTATTTACTTATTTACTTATTTATTTATAGATATGGGACCTATCCACATAGAGTTTTTAAGAAGTTGGGAATTCCTGGCCCAAAACCTCTGCCCTTTTTTGGAACCATTCTGTGTTATTGTAAGGTGAGTGTTGCTTGAGCTCTACAGTTTGCTTTTCTGGTTGCAAACACTGGCTTCCTTCTATGGTGGAAGAGAAGTGCTTTTAGAAGCTGTGTGTGTGTGCTCCCCCTAGAGAATGGCCAGGTGTACTGCAGGGCTGTGTCCAGCTGTCCATACTATCCACTGGGCATCAGCGGATCCACATAGATTTTCAGCATCCTGGCATTCACAATGAGAACTTGATAGACTTTGTGAGCAACAAAGATTTTTTTTCCCTAACAAAGCCAATTTCAGGAAGGGTCACTAATAGCTCTAGGGACTTTTATTTACACAGTTCACATACCACAATTGAGAATTCCCACAAGGAAGATTTCTTTCTTCGTTCTTTTACTTTTTTTTTTAACCTTCAGAAGTAAAATCCCAGAGGAAGTATTTAATTTGTGGTGTCCTATGGGTAGAGGTGGCATCACTCTTATCTTCTCATATTGGGCAAGTTCACTTTGCCTTCACTTGCACTCTGACTTCTGCTGGAACTTTATTTTTTTTTAATGCCCAAAGAGGTGATCTGAACATCGCAACTCCACGCACTTCATTTAGTAAACAAGAAAGAAGCCTAACTACTAGACAACAAATGACCTGGGAATTGCAGTTTGAAGCTAGCTCAGGTTCCCTCCCCCACAAATAATAATTTTTAAAAATGCTCCTATGAAAGCTGTTTCAAAGTGACATACTACATATACAAACTTGTTCTATAACTTGATCAAGAAAATGTACTTGGATGAGGTCTTAAACATGTAATATCTGCATTTATTTCTCTTCCCAGGGCATTGCAGTTTTTGATGCTGAATGTTATTTTTTTTTAAATATATGGAAACTTTGGTGGTAAGTATTCTGGAAACTTCCATGGGATAGATTGGTAAAGATGAGACAATCCGTTCTGTTGGGGCACTGTCAGCCCAGAGCCTCTTGAGCCATGCCAGGTCCAGCCGCAGCATGCACAGGGTCTCCCAAGGGGTAAGGGTATGGATGAAGGAGACGGAGAGAAGGCTGAAGGCACAACTCTGTTTATTCCAGCAAAAGCCTCAGCTATATACACTTTCCATATTTGTCCAAGGCTTGCACCACATTGTTTCAGGACCCGCCACGCCATCAAGTGCAGACAGTATGCATCCTTCCTAATTCTATTTCAAATAATCTTTGTCTACTATACTCCCCCAGATAAGCCCCTGGGCCCAAAGCTCAGAAAAACACTCCCTCAAATAAAAAGGCAAGCACTTGCACCCCAGAAGGTTGGCGTCAGTGGCGGGGAGCCTTGGCTCACACGTTGCCAGCTCCTGATACCTCAGGGTCTGCAACATCTCTCCCTTTTTTATTTTTTATATTGAGCAAGTATCTATCAGCCTGGACCTGGGCAAAGGAGCCCAGGAAGAAAGGCAGAGAAAGGACCATCAAAACAGCAAAATGCCCAAGAAATACCAAAAGGAGTACTGTAACAAATTTCCTAGGTTGAATCCCTGCAGGGAAGGAAGACCTGATGCAGCCAAGTCTTCAGGGTCTGCTACCTTTAGGGTGGAGTAGCCAACATCAAGTATCTGCCCCTGAAGCTGCAGAATATCAAAGCTCAAATGATCATGGAACCAGATTCCTTGGATATGACTCTGGAGATTTGTTCGTCACATTTCCATCATATTTAAGAGGGGGTAACACAAATGGACTGATAATTAGCATGACATGTCATTTTTAACTCAGTCTTTAGCAGTCTACCTGGTTAGTAACATACATCATGGCTGTTTCCAAAGCATTTAGACATTCCACAATCTTTTTATCCATTCGCACTTGGGTCCCAGGGGCACTAGAAACATTTTGAGCCAAATTATTAACATGTTATGCTGTATGGGTTTGGGTAAGGGCCGTGGCAGAAGCAGTAGCACTGGCAATAAGAGTTATGGTAGCAATAATGCTGCAACCGATATTCCCAAAACTCTGTGAGAGCAGCTAAAAGCCTTTTGAACCTCAATAACAAACTGAAGCCCAAAATCACTTTGCCATGGTTCCATCAACTTAACAGGCAAGATAAAGGGGTTCATCGTAACAAACACTGTACAAGCTCCAAAATGTCCAGGATTATTTATGCAGTTAGTAAGAACACAATTATTCCTGCAGGAGGTGTGAAATGACTCCCCATGTTTAACAACCACACCCTGCACCAACCACTGGCATGTATGGATGCATAACACAAGCTTGCACAGTAAATGATACAAAACCACGGAGCGGGATAGGTCTCTGGGACAGTGGTACGGGAAGGTAAGAGGCATTAGTTCAAGTGGGCCTTAAGGCAGCAGCCAGACTCCAGATGTCAGGATAAGCTTGTCCACATGGGCTGACCAAGATGGTAGCTGGCAGAAC